ACGGCAATACGACCGGATAGTTTCCCCATTATAACCGACCTTACCCAAACCTATCACGATATTATAGCCGATAATACCCATCTTAACAAACCCCTCTAACGGCAATACGACCGGAAGTTCCCCCGATAATACCCATCTTACCCAAACCGTCTTACGGCATGACGATCGTGAATTTCGCCAAAATAACCCGTCTTACCCAACCCGTCCAGCAAACGGCAATACGACCAGAAGTTCCTCCGATAATACCCATCTTACCCAAACCGTCTAACGGCAATACGATCGTCAAGTACGCCAACATAACCCATCTTACCCAACTCGTCTTACGGCAATACTCTCGTAAAGTCCGCCATCATAACCCATTTTACCCAACCCTTCTTACGGCAATTACGACCAGATAGTTTCCCCATTATAACCGACCTTGCCCAAACCTATCACGATATTATAGTCGATAATACCAATCTCAACAAACCCCTCTAACGGCAATACGCCTGGAAGTGCCGTAAACAATTCCCAACCCAACCCTTCCGTCAACACTTTTTGCATACCATTTGAACAAGCCGGTTTACGAGTCATACAGGTACAGTTGAGCGATTCATTGGGTCATATACATTCCTTCGAATTATCTTTTGTGTCTTACATGAACTTTTGTGTTATTCGTAGGGACTTACACTTACAATAGAGTGATTCATTTGGCCATACACGTACATCGGAGCGATTCAATGGGTCATAAACGTACATCGGAGCGATTCAATGGGTCATACACTTACAATAGAGTGATTCATTTGGCCATACACGTACATCGGAGCGATTCAATGGGTCATAAACGTACATCGGAGCGATTCAATGGGTCATACACTTACAATAGAGTGATTCATTTGGCCATACACGTACATCGGAGCGATTCAATGGGTCATAAACGTACATCGGAGCGATTCAATGGGTCATACACTTACAATAGAGTGATTCATTTGGCCATACACGTACATCGGAGCGATTCAATGGGTCATAAACGTACATCGGAGCGATTCAATGGGTCATATCGGGTCATACACGTATCTTTGAGCTATTCATTTGGTCAAATACGTTCCTTGGAGTGATTCATTGGGTCACACACGCACTTTTGAGCGATTTATAGGCTCATAAATGAACATGTGATAGATTAATTGGGTCACATGTGTACCTTCGAGCGATTAATTGTAATATGTATGTACATGGAGCGATTCATTCGACACTAATGCCGGAATTTTGCAAAGCAATTTATTATGTCATACATGTACATTGGAGCAATTTATTTGGTCATGCATGTACCTTAGAACGATTCATTGGGTCATACATGTAGCTTGGAGCAAGCAATTCATTGGGTCATACATCTACTTTGGAACGATTCATTGGGTCATACATTGCCTTGGACCGATTAATTATATCATACAACTACCTTAGAGCAATTCAGTGGGTCATACATGTACCTTAGAACGATTCATTCGGACAAACATGAACACTGAAACGATTCATTGGGTCATACATGTACATTAGAACGATTCATTGGGTCATACATGTACCTTGGAGCGAGTAATTGGGACAAACATGTACATTGGAGCAATTCATTGGGACAAACATGTACCTTAGAACGATTCATTGGGTCATACATGTACCTTGGAATAACTCATCGGGTAATACATGTATATGTTTTACCTTGGAGCGTTTCATTGAGAAATATACGTACCTGGAAGCGTTTTGTTGGGCCATACACATGAATTAGAGCGATTCATTGAGCCATAAAGGTACAGCGGAGCGAGTCATTGGCTATATACACATACAGAGAACAACTGTTGAACGAACAAATAAATGTGTAAAACACATTCCACAAAGGCGTTCTTTTGCACTGTGTCAATAAAATTAGTCTGTAATCAGTGACGTTTTTGATATCATAAATAATTTAAATGGGCGACGTGGCGAAAACTAGAATGAGAAAACCTTACGATAAAGCCAGGCTTTGATACATTTATGACTGTTGAGTAGGGCTGCAATCCTGATGTATGTTTTACAGGGCAATCTCATAAAACTGGCGGCATCTGTGAGGCGGGCTCCTACTTACAGCATCGCCGAAAATCAGGAATACTAGTAAAGTTCTGTTGTATTATTTCCTCCGTTTCTACTCATTATTAATATGTGGCCAAACATTAATTTATTCTACTTTGCTGTAGTTCGTGTGCTCTAAGTGGAGAAAAAAGACGAAATTTCAAGTTATTCATATTTTTATTTATTTAACACTTCACGAGGAGCTCTTATTTATTACTAAAAGAATAAATTAAAAAAAATATGGAAGTTTCGTTTTTTCCCCAAAGAAAGCATAAATAAACATTTACACAAGAGTACATAAATAGTCACATCTTGCTTGAAGTTTCGTTTATTTATTTCATTTATTTATTTATTTTACACTTCAAAGGAAGTTCTAATTTATCGTTTATAAGAATAAATAAATAACTTAGTAAATAAACGAAACTTAAGCAAGATGTTACTATTTATGTATTTGTAATGCTTATTTGTGCATTCTTGAAACTGTTTTGAAATTGTTCTTGAAAAAAGAAATCTGGATAAAATAGACTGTGAAGTGTCAGATGTTACTCCGTCTTAACTTGTCCATGTGTTAAGCTGACCCGATGTTACTCACCCTTAACTTGTCAATGTGTTAAGGTGACCGGATGTTACTCCCCCTTAACTTGTCAATGTGTTAAGCTGACCCGATGTTACTCCGCCTTAACTTGTCCATGTGTTAAGCTGACCCGATGTTACTCCACCTTAACATGTCCATGTGTTAAGCTGACCCGATGTTACTCCCCCTTAACTTGTCGATGTGTTAAGCTGACCCGATGTTACTCCGCCTTAACTTGTCCATGTGTTAAGCTGACCCGATGTTACCCCGCCTTAACTTGTCCATGTGTTAAGCTGACCCGATGTTACTTCGCCTTAATATGTCCATGTGTTAAACTGACCCGATGTTACTTCACCTTAACTTGTCAATGTGTTAAGCTGACCCGATGAGCTGACCCGATGTTACTCCCTCTTAACTTGTCCATGTGTTAAGCTGACCCGATGTTACCCCGCCTTAACTTGTCCATGTGTTAAGCTGACCCGATGTTACTCCGTCTTAACTCGTCCATGTGTTAAGCTGACCCGATGTTACTCCGTCTTAACTTGTCCATGTGTTAAGCTGACCCGATGTTACCCCTCCTTAACTTGTCCATGTGTTAAGCTGACCCGATGTTACCCCTCCTTAACTTGTCCATGTGTTAAGCTGACCCGATGTTACTACGCCTTAACTTGTCTATGTGTTAAGCTGACCCGATGTTACTCCGTCTTAACTCGTCCATGTGTTAAGCTGACCCGATGTTACTCCGCCTTAATTTGTCCATGTGTTAAACTGACCCGATGTTACTTCACCTTAACTTGTCCATGTGTTAAGCTGACCCGTTGTTACTCCGCCTTAACTTGTCTATGTGTTAAGCTGACCCGATGTTACTCCGTCTTAACTTGTCCATGTGTTAAGCTGACCCGATGTTTCTCCGTCTTAACTTGTCCATGTGTTAAGCTGACCCGATGAGCTGACCCGATGTTACTCCCTCTTAACTTGTCCATGTGTTAAGCTGACCCGATATTACTCACCCTTAACTTGTCCATGTGTTAAGCTGACCCGATGTTCCTCCGCCTTAACTTGTCTATGTGTTAAGCTGACCCGATATTACTCACCCTTAACTTGTCCATGTGTTAAGCTGCCCCGATGTTACTCCGCCTTAACTTGTCCATGTGTTTAGCTGTTACTCCGCCTTAACTTGTCCATGTGTTAAGATGACCCGATGTTACTCCGCCTTAACTTGTCCATGTGTTAAGGCACGCCTCTGCCTGAAGTCCCGGTTTAGCGGTCACGTGAGAAGAGCACCCTCCGTTTCCCCTCCCGACATTTTATGTGCGTAAAGCTATAAAAAAAAACTCTCACAAATCTTCTGGATCTGTCTGATTATCTGTAGTTCTCTCACTCTAAATTACAGACTTCGTTTCACTTAAGAATTACGTGAATTTCGGTGGAACACTAATTTGACAAGTTCCAGCATTCTGAAGTTCCTGAGAAACTGATGTCTACCGAACGACCTCTGAGGTTCTGCTTCAAACTCATTTTCGACATGTTAACAAAAAGACTGTAAATAAACCGTATTAGTCGGCATGATCGTTTACAGAGAGTTCATTTGCACCAGGAGACGGTGGGCTCGGGAAACAGAAATAATACTCACTTTTCGTTATTGAAAAATTGCACAATTTTGTGTACTTTTAACAACTTGCCCTGTATCATTCAACGGCAATAGATGAACTACCACATTAGCATGTCAATCCAAAGAAAACCGAACTGTATTATAAATAACACATTGTGTTCATGTCTGATGGTCGAAATAGAACAGATACTTCATCAATTTGACAAAAAATCTGTGAAATTGATTTGGAATAAAAACGGCAAGACTACTGATTACGGGTTGTCAATAGCGATATCAAACTTACCTATATGTAGTTAAATTGCTCATAGAAACAAAAAATCAGGTGTTTGTATTTGAAACTTATAAAAGGAACGCGATTTACACAAGTTTAAGCTAATGTTGTCTAACATGTTCCTCGAGGAAAGTCGCACCTGCTACGTAACTAATATCTATATATTTTTTAATTTTATAAAATGATAAAAAAGCGACCATTTGTGGCGTACGTTTTCGTATACGCCTCAGCCTGGGTCTGGACTGTGATCGCTAATGCGTTAGACAATATCTCAGGGTCCTTTCTGGTACCCAGTATCTAGTGTTGCACAAGGTACAGGGGTGCTTTGTGTGTACCTGCACGCCGACTGATGTAGGTAAATACCGAGGTGTCCGATTCGAGCTCAGATTATAGACCAGGCACTAATCAGCCAATCACATATAGGGTCGGGTATCACAAAAACACCAGATAAAACCACATTTATTTATTATTAAGATTTATTTTTTTATCTTTTGAAATGAACACAAAAATCTCTATTACACAACGTGTTCTTGCACCAATTTGCTCTGTAAATAGTTTAGGTCGTTTAAATTCTCAACTCAATACTCTCTGACATCAACATTTCTCAACATCACACTTTCTGATATCCGACTTATTACTCTTTGACATCAAGCACATATTAACATTGACCTCAAACATATACATGTAGTACTCGCTCCCGCTCTTACATCAATTTAATACTTTCTTAATAATACTGACATCAGACAAATATCGACTTAAAGCTCTCTGATATCAGACACATATTAAATTAATACCCTCGGACATCAGACAAATATCAACTTAAAACTCTCTGACATCAGAAATATAATAAAACAATATTACTGTCAGCAGACGAATATCAACTTAAATACTATCTGACATCAGACAAATATCAAATTGATAATACTGACATCAGACAAATATCAAATTAATAATACTGACATCAGACAAATATCAACTTAATAACCTCTGAAATCAGACAAATATCAACTTGATAGCCTCTGACATCAGACAAATATCAACTTAATACCCTCTGACATCAGACATATATCAAATAAATAATAGTGACATCAGACAAATATCAACTTAATACTATCTGACATCAGACACATATCAACTTAATACCCTCTGACATCAGACAAATATCAACTTAATACTATCTGACATCAGACAAATATCAACTTAATACCCTCTGACATCAAACAAATATCAACTTAATACTATCTGACATCAGACAAATATCAAATTGATAATACTGACATCAGACAAATATCAAATTAATAATACTGACATCAGACAAATATCAACTTAATAACCTCTGAAATCAGAAAATATCAACTTGATAGCCTCTGACATCAGACAAATATCAACTTAATACCCTCTGACATCAGACACATATCAACTTAATACCCTCTGACACCAGACAAATATCAACTTAATACCCTTTGACATCAGACAAATATCAAATTGATAATACTGACATCAGACAAATATCAAATTAATACTATCTGACATCAGATATACATCAACTCAATACTCTCTTATACTTGTTATTATATAAGACATACATGTATTTTTCACACTCTGAATAAGATACAATAGCAATTTAATACTCTCACACAACAGATATATATATCAACGAAATAATCTCAGATTTACTGTAGGTGTGGCTATTTTCGCAGTAACGGTATTTTTGCAGATTTCGCTATACGATTTATTAACCAAAGCAACGCAGCAGCGATTAGTTTTAGTAAAGTAACACTACAAATCTATAGCAACCTTGGATCTGTACTTCTGTTATGTGGACACGCAGTAACGCGCCGACATAAGATCTGGTAAAGTGCTATTTCCCCCATGTAGTAATCCTAAGGGCGAACGAGAAATCATTTTAACCTTATGAGTTATATTACGGCGTCAACCAAGCTCTACAGAACCAACCACTCATTTTCTGTTTGTACTGAAGGATGTAACCTGTCCACCGTTCCCATTAATATTCATATATTCATCTTAAAGACAAACAAAGACATTAAAGCGCCTGTAAGTGTGGAGGGGGAGGTGAATTGAGTCTGAGAGCTATACCCGGGACAACGTAGTACTACCCAAATATTGACTGGCTATCTGTGGCGGTAATTAATGCAGGGTCATATGCACAGCCTTCGTCCCTTTTATAAGCGACACCAAACACAACACAGTACCTTGTACAAACATGTTTGTTCATTTGCCGTATATTCAAAACAGTGCCGATTAAAATTAAGCGCTGCCTGGAGAATTCAAAATATGTTTTCAATCATTTTTCTCCGACGACCATTTGTTCGGAAAAAAATCTACAAGAAAGACATATTTTGCTTCAATTGCTTTGCTAAATATGATCTCCTCTGGTAAAGAAATATATGTATCTAAAATATTGTACATAACTACATGAATTTGAAAAGCCAAAAGATCTGTTTATCTAATATAATATTCAAAACATGAAATTGTTTGAATCGTTCAATTTTAAAAATAAGTGATTTTTAATGGACGGCGATGGTGCAAATGTGTATGGTGAATTACACCACACAAAGGGGACTCTCCATTGAGGAGGCTGAAATATGTCTATGAAAGCCTCCGTTAAGATCGTTTATACCGCTGCAGTGCACACCTATACCGGCTATAAACTGTTCACATCGCTTCCCGACATTCTAATACCCAATCAAACACAGGAAAAGTAATTGAAATTTAACCACATGCATTGGAATAAACTGTCTATAATATTAACTGTGAAGTATATAAGAGATTCCCTCTTCTTGTTATTTCAGAATGTAATGATCTCGATGGGAAATATTTCAACGATTTTGTAATAATCAGTTTTGCCTGTTTTTGGAACGATCTGTTTTGATTTAAGTTATTCACATCGGGTTGTAATACTGTGTCGCGTTAAAGAAAATGAAAATATGGCAGATTTGATTAGATATTGTGTAATATTCCAATCAGGCGACATTATCGCAGCCATCCACAAAATACCCATCAACACCTATCCACACACCTATCCACACATATATTGCAAAAAATCCGTCTAACACATATAAATGACACATCGAACGTGCGAACAGAAGATAAACGCCTATATTCACCACCACACGTTAACGTGTGGTAAATATAAACATTTAGTACGTTCCATAAATATTTCATACATTACCTACATCAATACGTCATTAATGTAAGCACACAATCCATTGTGTCACAAGACAACCTTCATGTTAAGATTCTATTACACAATAAAACATTCACATTCGGTCACAAAGGTCAACACGAACTCTATGTAATACGAAAGTAAGGTCACCAAACAGTTACTTTCGTACTATAGACACTTTGTAGCAACACATTAAACTTTGAACTCGGCTATTTATGACGTCACAACCCCAGTCATTATAATGCTGGTATCATTGATCCTCCATTAAACTCTGACTTTCCTTGGATGTTGTTTGGCTGCACGAGCCGTTGACCACACCCCTTGAACCCTCGTCCACAAAGTACGTACCACAGCCCGTCACCCGGGGACAGAGGGTGTGGTGTTTGCATTTGTTGGTATGAAGGAGCAGATTGTTTCGGTATACATTGCTCTGAATCACGGTGGGGGTTGACGTTGAAACACACTTTTCAATAAGTTTTTTAATGTTGCCACTAGGCACTAAGGCGGCGGTTTTAGTATTTTCCGTGGAACCCCCGCCACCGCCACCACGACCGGACTTAGTCCGTTTCATATTAGATATGTCCACTCCTAATTGCCCACCACGAGGTAGTCTTGAAACCCCTCGCTGACTGACTGATTTGCACGTGACTAGACTATTGAAGCATCTGCTGTACCTGTGCTTCATTTGACCAATATGTTGGGCGTAGATATAAGGGTTAAGGGCACTATTGAGAAACACTAAAGCGATTCCACATAATTTCACTTGATAGAGAATAATGGACTCTCCTGTGATGATTTCGACAAACTGTGAAGTAATCAACGGTCCCCAGCAGAGTCCGATTGTAAAGATGACCACCAGACACATTGTCAGTGCCTTGTTGTCCTTGTTCACAAAGCGTTGGCTGGGACACGTACAACAATGGCGGGGAACGGGGCTACAGGCCTTTTGTGGACTGTCCCTGAGGAATTCCGAGGTTTGGCTGTCGTGAGTATCTCCGGGGAATCTCGGGGTTGACCCACTCTCAGGACTAAACCTTCCCTGTTTCTGTACTGTCCAACAGATAACAAAGTACGAGAGAGTAATAACTGAGAAACTCACTATTACCACTGGTGCTAAAAAGAATAAGACAAAATTTTGTTGAAAGCGATTTGGGCTGTTGATAATAGGTTGGCACGTTCCTAATTGTCCATTCCAGTCCAGTGTCACGTGAATGGTCCCGCCTAGGGACACCGACAGGCTCACAATCCAGATCATCCCTAGAATTATCCCTGTACGTTTTAACGTTAATGAGCCTCTTGCTCGTCCTATCACACGGGACAGACGATGGAGGGCAATGGCTACCAAGGTCAAAAGAGACAGCATCCCACTGACAGTGCCCATAAACAGGATACTCCCGCAGAACGTTACGGGAGTTGGCGGGTCCGAATACAAGAGGAACATAAATATCGGAGCTAGACACGTGCATGTTAGGAAATCTGCTCCTGCTAAATTAAGCACCAATACATCAAAGTTCGTCCGTAACTTCTTCCATTTTAGAGCAGAAAGAAGAACGATTCCATTACCTACACATCCAAGTATGAGCACAAAAATAATAAGTACCGTACACACTGCTAGGGAAGCCGTATGCACATGTCCTTTGAAGTACCATGAGTTGGGAACATGACTACAGTTGGTTCGAAGAGGCTCTCGTACCTCCCTAAACTCAAACATATTGTCAGACATGACTGGTATCACAGTCCGAATATGTTGGCGGTCTGTCATCGACTGGACATCCAAACCATAAGCGCTATACACCACTCCTGTCAGTGTTCGGCACCAAGTCTTGTACTTAATACTAGTCCGATAAAAACCAATACAAAAAATGCTAGGGAAGTCGTATAAAGAAGCTCAGAGTAACAATTGTTCATGAACTATTCATTTGTTCCGCCATCGAATTACCTTATAGGCTTGCGATAGTATGATTCCTGAACTGTGCAAGCGGCCTAAAATGGCGTCGTTGTTCCGGAGTAATTGACCATGATATGGTGTTTGTCGTGGCAAGAACAATATCCATTTAAATGTTATGAAGGCTGACAGGTAAGCCACGGACGACCCGTCATTATTCCGGACGATCGGGTACGTACCGGGTAGACCTCGCTATCAGCAGCGCTTCACACACTCTGTTTACTTATGAACGCCAACGTCTGGCTTAACTGTTTACGAGAATTCCTTTTAGGCGACCGATGTACGTTCACTTCACTTATCTCCTTTTCTCGGGGCTTTTTAACACAATCTCGCTCTCTTCCCTTGGATGTCAGCGGTTCTTCTAAACAAAGTCTTAACTATCCCTCGCTATCGTTCATTGTATATATAATGGACTTGTCCGAGCTTCGTAGCAACCAGAAGTATAACGAAAACTTTCGTCTCTATACTCCGTTGGCTTTTCCTGTGTTGCTTGGCAGTGTATTTGCGATATGAGGACCTCGACCGTTCGCCTAACAATGAAGAAATACCGAGTTGTGACGAGTCTACATAGGCCCCATTGTCAATAACGGCCGATCGTACACAAGCCTATAATTATCTCTCCAGTCAAAAATATTATCCAGCTAAATTGCTCTCTTGGCCAGTTAGATGTGAGACACTCGTTGTATGCTCGCGATAAATCATGTCAAACAGACTGGCAACACTTGCATTGTGATATGAAATACGCTCAACACTATAAGACTGCGTTAGATGATTGAAAATCTCTACAAACATACGGATGAAAGAACATTTAAAAAATCCAATTATGTTTATTTTTTCTTATTCGTTTTTTTTTCTATCGAAGCAAAATGACTGCATATGACCTATAGGTAATCATTCATCCAGGTAGAAAAATGTTCAGTGTCTTGACGAAGCCGACAGTTCACGGGTAGGGAAGTGTGTATATACCGGCTGGGTAAATAGGCTGAAGCGGGGTATGACGGCTGCGACTGACAAGCTATCATTACGGGCCTCTTACCGGGGATATTTGATAGCGGTGCGGCGCGGTACGGGCGAGTGCTGGCGGGGTACGTTGGCCCTTGTGTTAGAGCTGACTGGTCCTTTGTCCCTCAGTCACGGCCTTATAGTAGCCCCCAGTCCGTCATTTCTCAGCTTTTCATGCCTGGCGATGGCCCCATCATATAGAGACAGTCTGTATGGTCTCCAGTGTATTAACTTCCCCTCTTCTTTGTGGCACTAAACACTGTTTTTTCGCTTGAGATAGTCCTTTAACACACCTGTAATGGAGAAAAGAAAGCCAGGTAGAAAATTGTCAATAGCAAATTTGATCTCTTCACAAAAGCATATAAAGACGGGCTCTCAAAATATTTGTTCTTTTCTAGCTTCTTATAGCGTCTTGACAGCGCTGTGTTGAATGCTTTTGACAAAGATTTCACTTCAAGTGTTAGTCTTAAAGCGACAAGGTGTTTTTGTTCCGACGCCATTTAACATACCCTGCTAACAAAGCCGGGCTGGGCGTCAACTATGTACGACAGTATATTGAAAGGCTAGGAGAAAGTGACGGGTGGGGATTACAACTAGTCGTGCAATGTGCTGTGTTTAGGGACAAATCGACTATCAGGAGAGAACATCTCATTAGAAATGGCGACACGGGGATTTATAGATGTCCAATCACGGTACTTAGATTTAATCTATAAGAGGGTAAAGTTAGTGTATTTGGTGACAGATCACACACGGACCGGGTCCTCCGGCTATTTTACTACATACCTACTTCCAGTTAGACCCGTAATATCAAAGGATTATCTCACTGTAGTACAAAGCGGTACATATTCACCAAACTACAGTCTGGGTTCCACATATCAAATAAAACAGGAAATCTCTGAAGTGTTAACCTTCGACTAGGATACTGAACATACATGTACATGTACGTCATAACAGTGTCATGTTCTACGTCACGCTCTATAGTCTAACTCGAGGAATATGATGTTGTGAGACAGATACATGCAGATCCAAACTATTCCACCATGTAAATCTTATATCGACCGATATTAATTACCCACTCACATTTACGTCACCAATGGTCATGCCAATGGTTAAACGCGACGACACTTTCACGAAAAAAACATAACATAGACAAAAATTTGATTTCCGACAAGACGATTAATGATGTCTCTAACTATGTCGGCCTAACAAGACAATACATTATGTTTGTAACTATCTCGGACCGACGTAACAATTACTGATGTCGCTAACTATGTCGGCCTATCAAGACAATTACTGATGTCTCTAACTATGTCGGTCTAACGTAACAATAACAGATGTTTGTTACTATCGCGGCCTAACGTAACAATAACAGATGTTTGTTACTGTCGCGGCCTAACGTAACAATAAATGATGTTTGTTAGTGTCGCGGCCTAACGTAACAATAACAGATGTTTGTTACTGTCGCGGCCTGACGTAACAATAACAGGTGTTTGTTACTGTCGCGGCCTAACGTAACAATAAATGATGTTTGTTACTGTCGCGGCCTAACGTAACAATAAATGATGTCTCTTAATATCTCGGGCTAACACTACAATTACTGATGTCTCTAACTACATGTATCTCGGGCTAACACTACAATTACTGATGTCTCTAACTACATGTATCTCGGGCTAACACTACAATTACTGATGTCTCTAACTACATGTATCTCGGGCTAACACTACAATTACTGATGTCTCTAACTACATGTATCTCGGGCTAACACTACAATTACTGATGTCTCTAACTACATGTATCTCGGGCTAACACTACAATTACTGATGTCTCTAACTACATGTATCTCGGGCTAACACTACAATTACTGATGTCTCTAACTACATGTATCTCGGGCTAACACTACAATTACTGATGTCTCTAACTACATGTATCTCGGGCTAACACTACAATTACTGATGTCTCTAACTACATGTATCTCGGGCTAACACTACAATTACTGATGTCTCTAACTACATGTATCTCGGGCTAACACTACAATTACTGATGTCTCTAACTACATGTATCTCGGGCTAACACTACAATTACTGATGTCTCTAACTACATGTATCTCGGGCTAACACTACAATTACTGATGTCTCTAACTACATGTATCTCGGGCTAACACTACAATTACTGATGTCTCTAACTACATGTATCTCGGGCTAACACTACAATTACTGATGTCTCTAACTACATGTATCTCGGGCTAACACTACAATTACTGATGTCTCTAACTACATGTATCTCGGGCTAACACTACAATTACTGATGTCTCTAACTACATGTATCTCGGGCTAACACTACAATTACTGATGTCTCTAACTACATGTATCTCGGGCTAACACTACAATTACTGATGTCTCTAACTACATGTATCTCGGGCTAACACTACAATTACTGATGTCTCTAACTACATGTATCTCGGGCTAACACTACAATTACTGATGTCTCTAACTACATGTATCTCGGGCTAACACTACAATTACTGATGTCTCTAACTACATGTATCTCGGGCTAACACTACAATTACTGATGTCTCTAACTACATGTATCTCGGGCTAACACTACAATTACTGATGTCTCTAACTACATGTATCTCGGGCTAACACTACAATTACTGATGTCTCTAACTACATGTATCTCGGGCTAACACTACAATTACTGATGTCTCTAACTACATGTATCTCGGGCTAACACTACAATTACTGATGTCTCTAACTACATGTATCTCGGGCTAACACTACAATTACTGATGTCTCTAACTACATGTATCTCGGGCTAACACTACAATTACTGATGTCTCTAACTACATGTATCTCGGGCTAACACTACAATTACTGATGTCTCTAACTACATGTATCTCGGGCTAACACTACAATTACTGATGTCTCTAACTACATGTATCTCGGGCTAACACTACAATTACTGATGTCTCTAACTACATGTATCTCGGGCTAACACTACAATTACTGATGTCTCTAACTACATGTATCTCGGGCTAACACNACAATTACTGATGTCTCTAACTAACATTACAATTACTGATGTCTCTAACTAACATTACAATTACTGATGTCTCTAACTAACATTACAATTAATGATGTCTCTAACTAACATGAAAATTACTGATGTCTCTAACTAACATTACAATTATTGATGTCTCTAACTATCTCGGACTAACATGAAAATTACTGATGTCTCTAACTAATATTACAATTACATTGTACTGATATCTCGGACTAACATTACAATTACTGATGTCTCTAACTAACACTACAATTACTGATATCTCTAACTATCTTGGCTAACACTACAATTACTGATGTCTCTAATTATATCGTGCTGACATCACAATTACTGATGTCTCTAACTATCTCGTGCTGACATGGCAATTACTTATGTCTTTGAATATCTAGAGCAAACATCTACAATATATCACTATAATGTTGAAAAGATATGACACCGATCAAACTTAATCATGTTAACGTGAATTATTGTTTGATATATCTGCAGATATACAACTTTGGTACTATAGATAGTAAAGATACATCGTTACACATTTGAAAAAAGATACAAAGACAGAAAAAAAGAGTAGACAGCTTTTCAGTGAGAATAGAAGATATACGAGGACTTATTATTTTGTAAAGATGACGGCAATAATTTAGCAACGACACTCGACACTGTTATACATTACGGAGTTACACTACTCAGCAAAAACAATCGGCAGTCCCAGCAATAAACATGCCATTTTGACCGGTAATTTGTCTCCTATACTTGTCGTGGTATAACCAAAATAACCTTAACGGTGTTACAGACGGGAGAGAGATTGCAAACGTACGCATCGTTGTGAATAAATCGCGTTTAAACTTTGACCTCGCTTACTTTTGTTTTTTTTTATTAACCTGATCCGGGTTGGTGAGAAGAAGTACAGGCGAAAGCCGCATAAATCTTAACATACGTCTTATCTCCAACACTTCTGTTTTCTATCTACACGTTTTTTATGTACCGTAATTTAAGTCCTGGACCCATCAAATCCATTTTACTGCCTTGCGTAATTTCCTTCGCCGGTAAATTGCAAACTCCGATAAGTAGAGGTCGTTCAGGAGTGATTTTGTAGATACGGGTTTTGATAAAGCTATTTAGCTATCTAAGACTGTTCAGCAGGCATTGCTGATATAGACGTAATATGTCACTCAGTTGATCAGAGGTGTAGACCTTGGGGTCCAGGGATGGGTACTTCGGGGACAGGCTCTCAGGAGATGGGCGTCACTCTGTTTGCTAAAGTTGCAAAGTTAAGGTTTGTTGTAGAACTAACATACACGAAGCCTACACATGTATACATTTATAAACGCAATATTGTATAATAAAACTACTGATGATTTGTTCTTATCATAATCTTATTTTCTAATTAGTTATGATAAACTCGTATAAGTTCCATTTGAAGTGATTCGCTCTAAATTGTTACCATAAAATCCTTATATTATTGAATTTTTAAATGAGTGTTTTTACTATTTTCGGAACACCCGGATATATGTCTAGTGCTTCCTTTCCTGCATTCTCTTTCCGCAGTATCTCAAATAGACAGGTAACAAAGCGCATATACCCTATGAGCTATGACATACAAAATGAACAATATAAACAGCATTACTTTTTACTTGAGAAATTGAGAAAACAATTCACAAAGAATATGACACATGAACACGGGTTTGTTTTACGATCTGGAGCAGTCGTTTTCACATTTTTCTATAAATTGTCTCGTCATTGTGCGCACAATTGTCATTAAGATTCCATAAATTGATCTTTTTACCGTTGCACGACACGTATAGCATGTTTATGTATACTTAAGTTTAAATCATTTGAAGGTACTGCTTGTTTTGCTCCAGTCACAGACAGCCCGACAGACTCCCCGATAAGAATCAGAACCCCCGACCAGACAAGCATGCATACAGGAGAGTTGCAGCAGCGTATCACAGCCGTGCCTTTGTGGTGTGCGGTAGGGCACCTATGTGTACCCCTGACGTAACGTATCTGTATCCTTTATATATAGATATCACGGTAACACAATAATCAACAAAGACATTCAATTATGGCTTTATCACATGATTCCATTATATCAGTGAGAGTCACAGATAATGGTCGCGGTTGTCACAACATTGCTATGAGATATGTACCTTACTGGACATAAGCCTTCGGACCTTTTACGTCATCCTTGAGTGAAAATGACATTTAATAACTATGTAACCTTATTTAGTTCCCA